GATGTCGTGGCGTCCCCCCCCCCCCCCCCCTGCCCAGCCCCTCACGCAGGCACCTGCCCTCCTCTCTCTCTCGCCCCGTGAGCACCCTCGTCGCACCCTTGCTGGAAGAAGCTCCATGCAAGTAGCAGGCATGCCCACCACCCTTTGAAAGGAGGGCCAGCGAAGGAGATGGCCGCTGGCTCTTCTGCAGCAGCCCAGAGGTTACGGTACTCGCCCAGCTTGTTTTGCCATGAGAGAGCTGCTGTGTTGAAAACACTCCACCTTGAAGAAAAATCTCAATATTCACTGGGCTAGAGAGAGAGAGAGATACTGGGAGCCTGGGACAGGAGCCTGCATCCCCCGGTGCAGAGGATGCAGGACCACAGAGAGCTCTACCTGTAACGGGGCTGTTGCCCAGCAAAGCCCAGCACCGGCAGGGTCATTTCCAAAGGGTGAAACCGTGCTCTTTACAGAGTGCTTAAACACCTGCTTTCAGGAGAGGGTTACAGGCTGGGAGTTCTGAAGAAAGGCAGATACCTAAATCTTGACCTTCTCCATGGATTTCGGCATTACCCTTTCCTTCAGTGCTTCTGTGTTGGCTAGGCCGGTGGTGCTTGCTCAGCATCTTGGGGTTTGCAATTACCTCCTTGAGTTTCCTCATTTGCTGACTAAGTTAAAGCAGTGGGTGCAACCACTGGGACCAGGCACCTAGGAACTGGATAGGCATCTATTTGACATCTCAAGTTCACCTCAAGGGAAAGGAAACACCACAAGTAACTTACAAAAGGGTTTCAGGCAGATATTAGTACTTCTGCCAGCTCTCCTGGGTTATTGGAGTCTATAATAGAGACTCTACTGCTCAAATTCAACAAGATTTAGTTTACACTAGTTTGTAATACATGTCATTTTTTTCTTTCTCCAATTTAAAAAAAAAAAACTGTAACCACCACATTTTGTTTCCATGCACACTCTTGTTCTCCAGAGCGTCAATCAGCTGTACGATCTCCTTTAAAGCCCCTCTCCAGTGTTACACTTTGCCTCCTCGCTGTCTTTCCATGTTTGCAAAAATCACCAAACAAACCGTCTTGCTACAGGAGAATTGCACCAAAGTAACTCGCAAAAACTCACGCCTTCAATCCCTGATACAAAGTGTTGGACAGCACTTCCAAAGTCTTATGCTATGAAATCAAACCACTAAATTCATGGTGGAAAGTTCAAAATATTTTACAGTTAACATACAACCAAGCGTTAAATACTCGCAGGAGCATACAAGCGTACGTGGATATCCTGAAGCAGCTGTACACCATGAGCGCTAGTATTTCTCGGTGTCACTGTGCTGCTCTCTTCCTCCTTTGCTAAAGAAAGGCAGTCATCATGATACACAGTAAGAACTTCACTCCGAATGAGAAACGATGATGCATGGCCAGCGGAATTGACCAAGGCATGAAAAAATAATCATGAACGAAACAAATTACAGCTTAAACGAGACCAAAAGGGGAGTATAAGCATAAGCCACTTTGCATATTTACATTCAGCTAGGAACGATTATGAACCTTGGGTTATTGTTTCATTTGAAATTAATTTTCTGCTTCTTAAACTGGAGCTTCCAGAAGGGAAGTTTCGGGGCCTTGGGCCTTTGTTTTAAATCAACTTGTTTTCCCAGTCAGATTTTCAGAGAGCGCATACAGGGCAGGAGACTTGATGCAGAGCACCCGGCGCAAAGCCTGCCATGCAGTCATGCACCACCAAAGAGCTCGGTCATGCCAGCCCACCAGGCCAAGGTTTCGCAGCATGCAGCCGTGGGAGACGTCAAGCTCAAGGCAGGGTTGATGCACAAGATTTCTAACCTCCTTCTCTCTTTCTGATCTTCTAGGTTCCTTCCTAGCCTTTCTCTTCTGGTTTCTCTTATCTTTTTCGTCCTTGATTGCCTTCACCGGGACAACTTTCTCCTTGACTATTTCTGAGGTGTGTGCTGTATGGATACTCATTGACCATTCAGAGATGGCATTGGGATCCCAGTAAGAGTTTTCAGTATTGGCAGGGAGAAGGAAGGAGTTAGCTCCCGGGGTGGCGTACTCTACGGAGCTGGACTCCACCGGTTGAAATTCATAATAATCCCACTCCAGGCCACTGGAGGTCATTCTTCAACTAATTCTTACGGCTCTTACCGTCTTTTAAAGAATGTATCTGCAGAACATGAAGTGAGGGATTTAATCTCTCCACAACGTTTAACAACTTTTAAGTTTCCGCTTATCATGCGGCAGATGAAAAGTTAGTCTTGCATTCGTTCATTAGCTAGAGTCAGTCAACTCCAAAATAAAATGTGTTTAGGTTTCTCTTGTTATTTAGAAAAATAAAATATAGGTCATCTTTTTAGAACCTGGAGATTTTTTTGTGTTATCACAACAATGCCACACACAAAAATCAAGTAATTTACTTTTCAATTAAATATGATAGTCCCCACTCTCACAAGCGATTTCATCCCTGAACCTAATTCTGTACTCCTGAAAAACAGCAATAAAACCTACATATGTTAATCAACTCTTGAAACTAAGATGCCTTCTCTGCCAAATAAGCACACAGTAAAAACTACTGAAGGCATAATCAATAGATTGCAACTAAAAGAGAATATGAACATACTCTGTGGGGCATAAATAAAGTGCAAAAAAGAATTATACAATGAGAAACCATGAACAGACAACCTTCTTTGAAGACCTATGTAAAAGGAAAGCAGAAATATTTTAGTTAATACCTTTCACAAGCAAGAATCTTCACTTGGACATTTAGCCTTCCTCCTCCTCTGAGACAAATCCAAACACACCCTCTGAGACTCAGCAGCTCCTGACGCTCTCCTCAACCCCAATCAAATTACTAGTACTAAACACAGAGCTAAAATCAAAACACATTTTAAAGAAACTGTATCTGTGAATCAGGCATGCCTCTATTCTGTTCACATTAGTCACCACATTTAGCAGCGGTATCCGGATGTCGTGAACAAAGCCCCTGAGAAGCTTGCGAGGCAAGTGAAATATGTCTTCTACGAGCTGAATATTTCTATAGTGCAAGACTCTTCTCCAAACTGAAATAACACTAAACACTGATCTACTGTTTTTCCATTATGGCTATCATGTTTACATATAAACTGCCTGGATTTTATTCCTAGAGGATTAAAAAAACCCCAGACTTACTCATAAAACAGTTTTCACAGAAACTCAATTTGCCCAAATCAGTGGAAGCCCTTGCATTCTTGGAACAGCAGCTTGCTTTTCTCAGGAAAACTGACTGTACTCGTGAAGTACCTGCAATTTTCCCTTAAATACCTGATGAATCATTTTTGCGGGAAGAAGTTGAAAAACATACTCAGGATACATCTGAATAAACTGATACTCCCATTACCCTTGCAAATCTGCTCCATTTCACAGATGGGCATAGAGAAAGACTAAAGAGCACAGGAAGCAAAGTTTCTTCCTAGACAAACAAGTTCCCCAGTAGAAAGCTGGCTGCACCAGTACTCCAGTCCCAAGCTTGGTAGACTGCTCACGTCTCACAGGGAAGCAGCTACTCATGCAGAGAAGGAAACCAGTTTTCCAGTTTCTATAGATATTTAAGACTCTCTAGGTGCAAACAAATGCCTAAGGGGATTTTCAAAAGGCACCTAGACATTTCCAATGTCCTTTTAATAGTCATACAGATGCCTCTACTAACCGCCTTTGGACTTCTAGGTCCTTTGAAGAATCTTCACCTTATTTATTACAGGGGGAACAAAAGCAACCCTTCCTCAAACTTGTTCCAGCATGCTATCAGAAATTAGAAACGAATCTGAAGAAGCTGTGGTTATTCAACTGCTGTTGCACATTTCAGCCTACACCTTTGTTCATCAGAGTGAGGTGACTAAAACCATGTTACTGGTCACTCCAACGTGCCTTAAAGTTTGGTCCAAGATTAGAAATATTCCTATGGAAAACCGAGAAATTCCAATGACTTACATATTTTACCGAATGAAAACAAACTACCATTTGCTAAATTCAAAGCTGGTTTCGTCATGCCAATGCTTCACCACACGACAGCCTCACAGATGCCACCACCCCACGTCAAGCGCGGCTGCCAACAGGACAATTTCCCTGCGATGCTGCACAGTGCTCCCAGCAGCTCCTCAATACTCTATACGCTGCTGTCTACACAAAAAGCATCTCCCACTTCAGGCGAACATCACAACAGATTGTGTTCTCTACCTGATGTCCTCCACTGGGTTCCCACAGAGTACGATGAACTCTTATTTCGTTTCTACATCAAGCAGCAGACAACGGTTCTCGTTGCTACTCACACCCACCTGGTGCAACCAAAGCTCTTATAAAGCTCTGCTGCTGGAGCAAGAGGACCAAGCTATTTGTTGAAAACCACCACGTTTTACATTGTCTCCCATGCAGTTTTGCATCTCCAAATTAGAGGTTACATTTCCAAATTAGAAAAGAGCAACAGATTTTGTTTTCATCTAATCCTACTACAAAGACGTGAAGGTCTACTGTTATTTGCAAATTACCTTTTCCCCTCCACCCCAACCAAGAAGACTGTATCTACTTACATCATCCTGAATATCCAGGTCACAACCTGCCTTCAACAAAACTTGGACAACGTGGAGATGACCCTTGTGGGCAGCAAGATGCAGGGGTGTCCGGCCATGCTACGAATGAGAAGAAAAGAATAATACCTTAAGATGAATTTTTGTGCATGGTACTTAACCAGAATTTTATCTGCTTTTCCTCATTCTTCTGTTCATACCTCACTCTCTGAAACCTGCAATAGCATCAACTAACATATATTAATGTACCAAAGGTTTTACCTTAGCTTTTTGTATGCTGAAAACTCCTCCTCCCCCTTCTGCAACATTTTGGTTTATCCCAATGATACTCTACAAAAGGGATAGTATATTCACCTAAGGATACTTCCTTACAAACTTGGATCTGGCTTCCTGTCCATGCCTAAAGAGAATTCACGACCCTTTTGTTTTTGTCCATCTGGAGCGCAGAATTGTCAATCGCTTTCAACTTCACTCTGTACAACAAAGTTGCACTAGCAAGCTAATTCATGTATTGTAATGGGTACCATCTTTGCGATAGAAATAAGAATTAGTGGACTGTTGTGTATGACAGATGCTCTCCTTAAAAGGACTGGAAGACTGGTAGTCACTCCAGGTGACTTCACATGTATGACAACCAACCTCATTTTGCCAAAGACCTGTCCTTTTTTCTTTAGACAATACTTATTTTTAAACATTACCAAGCTCCAACTCACATGAAAGTAAAGAGTGTAAAATAGTCATGAGAAATTCAATCTATAGTGTAATCAAGGATGGTTCCCTAACAAACAGAAGGGCAGAAAAGCTTTAATTAGTGAGACGGATACATGATGTATGGTTTTAGGAAAAAAAAAAAAAGAAACCAAAGATTGAAATTTGACAGTAAAATCAATTTTAAAAAAAAAGCATCTCCCCAACAAACAGATTCCAAAAATCTAAGTGAAATGACAAGAGGAAAGCAATAGTTACACATAACTGAGCCCTACTTGATCATCTTTTGACAGAATTTAAAATGAAACATTTCAGGAAAAGGGGAATAGGCTGCTTCTCCTAAGAGAGGCATAAGCATTGATGTGAAAAGAGGCTCAAAGAGGGAGGAGATTGTAAGATGCACTCTGGACAATAGAGGAGAGCTACAACAAGTGATTTCCTAAATGTTTAACCCATACAACCTGAAAAAGAAAACTCATAAGGGAGAATCAAGAATTAACTCTTGCTCTAGGAAGTGTGCATGTATGTGTATATATATATATACACACACAGAGGTATATATAAAATCTCAAAGCATCAACATGAAAAGCCAGTGAAACACTTTAAGAACTGTTAAACAACAACACTGTAAAACTGTTCATTGCAAATTTAATTCATCGCCATTAAGAAAACAGGATTCCATCCGTTGCTAAAATCACAGAGTATCTTGACAGAAAATCCCAAGTTCTCCACAAGGCATTTTATAAGATAAAGAAGAGTTACATTACTCTTCACCTGTGTCTATCGTATATCTATTTCTTTAGCATTACCGCTGCTATTGTCTATTTTTCCACCCAATGATTTACCCTGCAAAGGAAGATAAACAGCCCTAATATATCACCTACAGAAGGAGCAAACACCTCAAGAGCTGTCTGACTGCTGGTGGCCTGAAATAAGCAGAAGGCAACCATCAGCTCTCTGAGGTTTTAAGCAACTTCTCCAGTGGGAAAGCTACTTCAAGTAAATAAAAAAATCAAGTTCAAGACACGATTGTTTTCACACAGCAAATCCCATACCCACATAGCTGGTAAAGCCTGGGGAATTCAGCCTCTTCAGAGCAAAAAGGAAAACCAGTGTTGAAATCCATAGAATGGCTGGGGACAACATGTCCATGTCACTACTGAGTAAGATATGCCGTGCTTCAAAAACGTTCAACATTGATTAACTGTCCTACATTATCCATCTGAAGGGCCAAATCCAAGGGAAAAGTCCTCACCCACTCTGACACGTGGGCCTCTCAAAAACCAAACATTGTCGCCCATTAGCGGCTGCAGCTCATTCCCATGTGGGAAACTTCCATTCCTGCCCCACTGCCCGGGGGCTTCTTACTCGACCTGGCCGCAGGTCCCTAAACGCCTGCCCCTACGGTGAAGGGCACGGAGCCGCAGGGAACACGCTTCCTTCTCCATCAGCCTGGAGGAGAGCCAGGGCTATGTCGCTGTTCCAGGTAACTCAATAGCAGGAGGCGTAAAAGTCTTCAGACAACATAGGGGAAAAAAGAAAAGAAAAGAAAAGAAAAAGAAAAAAAAAGAATGGACAAAAGAAAAAAGAAAAGAAGCCAGTTTGACAAATCATTCCCAGCTATGAACAATATGTTTGGATTACGAATATGCGCTCCAGCACGTTCAGGTTTATGGGTTCTGACTTTCTACATTACTTAATGGCGATAAGTAAATCACCTAATCTGGCCATCTCACTTCCCAGCAGGTTACTAATACATCATGAAAACAATTTATTGCAATCTGTGCACAGAGCAGAAAAAATCCCAAACAAACCCAACTTGAAACCAGCTCAGGTACTTTAAAAGGAAAATAGCGTCAACTACATGAATATATCCCAGCGGGGAAACTCTGTGATAAGATAACCATCTCTAACCACTGAAAAAATGCTGATGTGCACCCAAAGGTACTGTGTTAAAAGTAAACCATGAAAGCAGAGTATGAGTTTATTTCAATACAGGGACATGTTTTCCTCACCCAACACACCTTCCTAGGCCATCACCACACAGAGCGTGCCTGCTGGCAGGGCACAAGCATGAGAAAAGGTTGCAAAATGGCAGAAGATCTAGTTCACGCAACCCTCACCTGCCCGTTCGGTGCCGTAAGGCACATTAAAATAAAGCTGCCCCAGGGAACAGGCTTATCCGGAGGAAACTGCCCTTGCCCCAGGGAACACCAAGATCTCCTGTCACCGGGACCAACCCGTCCCCGTTCCCCATAGCTGGGCAGCCTCCCGTGCTCATGGCCGGCCCCACAGGAGGTGGGTGCCGGAGGAGGAGAGGACACAGGCCAGAGAAGGCCACTGCGGGGCCAGGGATCGCTGGGAGCAAGGGTCGCTTGGTTGCTCCTGTCACCCAGCGAAGAGAGATTCGAGTTAACAGTGCATTTCCCCTATCATCATCCCCAAGCGTCCAAAAACTTCAGCCAGCGCCCCAAAACTCAGTTTTTTATTAAAAAAAAAAGAAAAAAAGTGAGTTATTGAAACAGAAGTCTAGAGGAGTATGTTTATTCCAGAGGGTTTGTGTGTTTCAAGATTCTCTATCCAAAACCATAGGTTCAGAGGCATCCCACCTATTGGAGACTCCCGGAGAGACCTTCAGAGACCAGAGCTACTGCATACGTGCAGTCCGTGAGCTCTCCCCACTATAAAGGGACACTACACATGAAAACTATGACCCTGCCTAGGGTGGGAGAGTGGGAAGGAGGATCAGTTCCAGCACATTACACTGATTAGAGGCTCAGGCTTTTGGAAGCGCACCCATCGTATCAAGATTAATCATAACCCTGCAAGAACTGGCAATGCCAGATTTTGGTTTTCTTCCCAGTAATATCAAAATGAGAGCAGAGATGGGCAGTACAGCTGGACAGGGTTCCAGTGCGGGCAATACAAACACTGGAAAAACACTCCCACTCACCTCCCCACACAAACATATACATATACACACAGGTATGTATGTACATATGCCTGCATACACCAACCCAGAACAACCTGTGGGGGAGAGATCAGGCGATGTGACGACAAACTTGGAGCACAGCAAGCTTTGGAGAGAAACGTTCGATGGGTCCATGCCACAGCGGGAAGCCCCAGCAGGAACAGTCAGAGCAGCTCTTGCCTTCCTGTCTGTAAGTCAAACCAACTGCCCACCAAGTTCTCTCACAGCAATGCATCCTACCCAAAATACCTAGAGGGAAGAGAGATGAAGGCAGATGGACAAATTTCCCTCTGTGGGTCTCCCCTCCATAAAGACATTTTGCACTCACCACTGCAGCACCAAAGAGGGGGCTTATCTGAGTACACACATAGGTCCTAGTGGGAAAGGAAACATATATGACCAAGAGTGTCTCCCAGATGCTCACTGCAAGGAGATATAAGCCCAGGGACTGTCTAACATGCAGATCACCAACTTAAAAGCTTGTGAGCATTTCGAAATATAAACTGTAATGGTTTGAGGGTTATTACAGAATACAAATGAAAGACTGCTACAACTTGAGATTAATGAACCAATAAAGCAGTCATTCATATAAAAAAGAAAAATGCAATTTGGACTTCTATTCAAATGTAAATAATTGCTTCAGCAGGCAACAAATCATACAAATGCTCCCATGTCATGGGCTTATCGACAAAATAAACGGGACCTATTGCACAAAGGCTGCAACCTCCAACAACCGTGACACGCTGCTATAGCTATGGGGTGTATCAGATTGCAGTCAAGCACCGTAAACAGCCACATGAATTTCAGCAGTAAAACGCAAGGGCAGGGTTTTCGTTTGTATTTAATCTGTATTCTAACTTCCACACACTGACAGGCAGCTGTCGATACATACTGTTTAAAAGCAGAATTTTCTTAGAGCAGCTGCCAATGTAGGCACTCTGCAACCAAATCCATGCAGGGGGGGCCTTAGCACCAGGAGCCGCATGGTCTTTCCTTGTGTTTATGTATTTGTAGATACTTTTATGCAAGTACATTCAGTTCTCCATCTCACCCTGCTCTTGTGCTGCACAAGGACTGTTATCTATTCATCCATTCCGCACTTACACAAAAACATGCCTATCCACGTTTCATTAGAAAGCTTGAAAACAAAAGCCAAGTCTTGTCACGTTGTTCACACTGATGATTTGTTAGACTGTTCTCCGTGAATAACCTGCTTGCTCAAGTCAGCAGAGTTTCTCCTTGACCTCAACAGGCACTCAGCAAGTCCCTAAATGTTTGCTAGTCCCCTTCACTTATTTTTATTTATTGTTGAAAACAGACACAAGTAGTTTTTCAAACTGAAGGAGCACAAAAATGTGAAAGCACCAAAATGTATTTCTTTTTTTGTTTCTGTCTTAATTTAAAAAGGAAGAAAAAGAAAAGA